GACCACCATGGAAAACCTGGAAACACTGGACGGCCGTTTCGTCCTATTATGGGACTCCTCAGCAGTGCGCATCCACTATTAGTTTAAGTTTAATGTATATGGTAGTCGTATATTGGTGGCAATAATAATAATACTAATAATATTGATGATATACTTTGTTTTAATGTTTTATCAATTATATTAACAAACCGTTCTGTTTTTATTAACCTGCCTATTATTAATTATAGATAATTTGAATGTATAACTAGTTTTAGTTTAGGTCAAAAGTTTACTACCCTTTAAAAAAGTCAATCCATATGTGTATATTATTATTATTATTATTATTATTATTATTATTATTATTATTATTATTATTATTATTATTTTATTTAATTGAACCACAGGAAACGAATCGAATGAGAATGGTCAAATTATAGTTAGTTATTTCGTTAAATTTAGCTGGATTTTGATGGATTTGTCCATTTAGCTACTTCTATACTAATCTGCATGGATGGTATAGTACCACTCTTTGTTTGTTCATGTCATGGAAGCTCCATGAATAACTGATGTTTATTAGACAGACTACTATATATATATATATATATATATATATATATATATATATATATATATATATATATATATATATATTCTAAGCTAGTGTGTGACGAAATCTCAGCACGAATACAGGAAGCTCGACTAGATTTTGCCAACTTGCCTCATTTATGGCGTAGGCGAGATATCCGTCTACCAACGAAAGTACGAGTTTGCTGTGCAGCAGTTCGTTCCGTCCTACCTTATGGTAGTGAAACATGGTCGGTAACAGTAGGTTACTAGTATTCGATTGTAGGTGTTTTTGAGACATTGCTCGTGTATCCTGGGAACACCGAGTAAGTAATGTAGTTGTTAGAGAACGGGTACTAGGTAAGGATGGCAAATCGATTTATGTAGTATTGAAACTTCATCAGTTGAGATGACTGGGACACGTGTTACGTATGCCCAACCACCGACTGCCCTGACGTGCGATGTTTTATGGTGTAAGAGTATGTTGGAAGAAAACTAGTGACGGTCATACCAAAAACACGGCATAAATTCATGAAGTCATTGACAAATGGACTGATCCATGTTGGTAGGTGTAGACAACCTGGTCGTGATCTGCGAGATGATAGCAACCGATGGTTAGAGACCTTAAATGACACATGGTTCAAAATCTTTTGTAGTGACACAGGTGCATCCACTCTATGTGTTCTCCCAAATTCTAATCTTCTGAATTCTTCATTCCCCTTTCGTTTTTCCCTTTCCCAATTTATTTCACTGGATGATGCTCCTTGAATAACATCTTCAAACCCTAATGTTTTTGATTACTGCTTATACTTTTACTACCTCTACCACTATGGGTTTTGAATGGACAATTGTATCTGTGTGCTAATATGATATGGCAAGTTGAACTGATGTACGTGCATACGTAGGAAGTTCTACGTTGTTGCTCATTGACTGAAAGCATTACAAAGTAGGTTTGTTAGCTTGTCGGTGTACATTGAATCTGTAGATCAGTTCATATGAGACAATAAAATAAACCACTGACTATTGACTATTACAAACTATGACTAATAAATATAGTAAATGTCAGTGTTTTTATATCATGCAAATTAACCCTTCTATATCATGATTTTAAATGTTGAATCAATGTACATAGAGTTAGGCACCATTTATACAATAAAATTTAGCAACACGGATTATATCTGTCTACTCGACTCATTCCATTAGTCAGTTATTCCATAATTATTCAGATTACAAACCAACTTATGCTAGAGTATCATTGAAAATCAGGGATACTGGGGAGTTGCTTTGTTTTATTATGAAGCTCATCAACAGTGTATATCTATGATCGCACTAGGTACTGAACCTTTCAACATTCAGATCTTGTAGGAAGCATCGAATGGATTTGATCTCCAAATACAATTATTTTGTGATATTTTACAACTAACTCCCAATGTTTTTAGCCATCTATCTCTTCATAATCGACAAGAATGAACTATACTACTCATGACATCTCACTAAAACTCCAGAAATCATTTATTGATATTAGTCACTAATGAGTAATTGATAATCACTAAGATGGTGGACGGAACACCTGTACAGTGTTCCCAGGTTTTCATTGATTGTTTAACTTAAGTTGATTCGTGATCTCAATAATTTTCAATAATCTTTGTGAATCCATATCTTGATTTCACAATTGTTTTTTGTCACTTATCCTTTTGGCCACTATCAGCTTTTTTCTTAAAAAAAAAAACAACCTTTAAATCCGTATTACATAATATTACCAGACTGATATTCATTGGTGATTAATCATGCCTGATACTTTCATGTCCTAGTCAAATTCCTTCCTCAGTGAACAAGATCATTTTTTCTTCTGTTTTTATATGTCATCTTAAATACAAAGAGATTAACAATCGTGAATAAGATAGTTTCTTTTTGTTGTTCATGATCATTTATTCTACTATTGTTACCATTGTTTTCTACTTACGAGACAATCTCTATACTAAATGATTGATTACTACTTTTGTTGTTGTTGTTGTTGATGATGATGATGTGATTATCCTTTGTTTAAATGTAACCATAACTCTTTCTAAACTAAGCATATGAATAAAATCACTTGGTATTGTTTGCTTATATCTTCCCATTGTTGTTTATGACTGCACTTGACCAGTCTCTTGTTAGCATATATAAAAGTCACAAAGCTCTATAAGCAAAGATGGATGGTAGCTAGCAGTGAAATCCAGGACAAATCACGTTTCGACCTATTTGGTACTCAGAGTTGATGTTCACTCTGGGACTCGAACCCAGTACCGTTCACTTCAAATGTCATCTTGGTTATCCATTTCTAGTCCCAGTGTGATCATCAACTCTAGGATGTAGGTACATACAGCTGATGAGTCCAAAATAGGACGAAACGTGCTTTGTCTTGGATTTCACTGCTATCCACCGTTCATCTTTGCTTATAAAGCATATGAATTCTCAATTAGATACTATATATTTTGTCGAATAAAGTTAGTTATGTTTGCTGTTGTTTATATTTTTAAGAACTATCAACCGATCTATCAATCAGTTATGATGTTTGACTTAACATTAGTATCATTAGAAACTATTAATTTGATATTGGCACCCATTTATTCAATTACTTATGGGTTTATGATATTTATGTTTAGTCTAACTATGTACGTTTTGCATATATATATATATATATATATATATATATATATATATACGATTTATGATTGAGGGGAAGTTGAAGATTAGATTGATCTGCCCAAATTCTATGCCATGTCATTCAAAGTCTTTAACCATGATTATTTGCTGCTTACCCATGTCTTCTCTTATATTTATTTATTATTTATTTTAACACATAGGTATAAGTACAGGGAGGCACCAAGTACATATGCGCCACACAAATCTCAATTGATTTGTGTGAGGGCTGTGATACTGCCTGGGTGCCCAAACCAAAGCAGGTGATTTTCTTAGGGAGCCACACCCCGAGCCTTCGACCTAAAGGTCTGACCCACAAGGCAGTGGAGCATCGTGAGGAGATGCAGTCCCATGGTAGCCGGTGACCAAGAAATTGGTTCCTATGTCATTTGTTCCTTCAGGATACTAGAGCCCATATGCACCATTGGTTTGGGATCCGGTTAAAGCGCCGGAAATTCGCTTTTCGTCTTCTCATTTTCGTAAACAACAATCATGCCACGAGAATGCAGTGAGTAGGACACTCCTGGCAGAGGCTATATACGCATGGCCATGTGAGCATTTGGAGAGGGAGAGTGGACTCTCCCCACTCTCGGCTGTACCAGGGCATATATTATAGTTTCAAGTTGTATCGCAACGGTTTATATTTGCATTTTTGGCTTATATCACAATACATACTACTCAAAAATTGATTAATATTAAAGATATAATATGACAAAGTCGATAGTAACAAATTTAATGATAATATACTATATGATGCTGGTTGACATCCAATTGAGATACTTTGATGTTTTTTTATCTCATTTTGAGTATATTTATTACTGAACATTAATATCTGTCAACAAACTTCAGTTCATAGTTCTTCAAACCACATTGTATTAAACTTACTTACGCCTGTTACTCTCAATGAAACATAGGCTGCCGACCAGCATTCTCCAACCCACTTTGTCCTAGGCCTTCCTTTCCAGTTCTATTCAATTGTTCATTTTTCTCACGTCTATCTCCATCTTTGGTCTTCCACTTTTCCTTTGGCCTTGAGGATTCCATATGAGGGCTTGTCTTGTGACGCAGCTGGGTGCTTTCCTCAATATGTCTCCTATCTACTTCCAACCCTTCTTCCTGATTTTTTCTTCCACTGGAATGTAGTTTGTTCTCTCCCACAGTAAGTTGTTGCTGATAGTGTCCAGCCAATGGATCCGAAGTATTTTGCGTAGACAACTGTTAATAAACACCTGTATCTTCTGGATAATGGCTTTCGTGGTTTTTCAGGTCTCGGTTCCATACAGTAAAACTGTCTTGATATTTGTATTGAAAATTCTGACTTTGGTGTTGGTTGACAGACAGTTGTTTTGAGTTCCATATGTTGTTCTTGCTTTGCCGATCCGTCCCTTCACATCTACATCAGATCCACCGTTTTCATCAATGATGCTGTTCAAATATGTGAAGGTTTATACATCTAAATATTTTAATTTGCTAACTTTCTGCTTAAACTCAATTCCACAATTAAGTTTTTTAAATAACGCTCGATAAGACATTTTCGAACTTAAATTTTTTGCTCACCGGTTCTCATTAGTAAAAGATTCTTATGTAGTTTTTCGGTATACATTTATCTTCTCTTCGATTTTATTCGAACATTCAATAGTCTATAGCCTTTGATTTAATCAGTTACGCCAATATTGGGTAACATATATCCAATAGTGAATTATTTTGTTTTCAGTAATGCTAACTAAGTAGGATGTATTAATTACTGCTTTATCTGTATTGTTTCTCTTTTCCAGCCGCATGTTGTAGAAGCACATTCAGTTCGTGTGGCACATCATAATGTAAGTCCTGAAAATGGTGATCAACTATGTCGAGTGACTGGTACTGTGATTCAAAGTGTTGACGTCAGTAAAACAATAGCAACAATATCTACTACTACTACTACTACTACTACTATTAAAGTTAATGGTACAAATGCTCAGTCTAACGATTCATCTCTTGTCGAATTTAATAAATCTGTCAATTTAACCAATGAATCAAATCATGATAACATTCCTAAATCAATTAGTATTGATGATTACACAAAAGCAGAGAAACATCGAAATGATCAACAATATAATCGTCAACATTTATCCATAAGTGATCATATAAATTATGATAATAATGGTGAAGAGGATGATTTACATGATATTGTACATTATACACCAGAACGTATATCACCAATGTCATTTGATCGTGGTACAGTAACTACAATTGAATCACATTTATCTAGTATAATGGCTCAAGATGAAATTGATGATGGTCGAGAGAATAATAATCTTAATAAAGAGTTTGATTATTCTTCATCAAAAAAGATTATTGCTGATTCAGAAAAATTTTCCGAATCTCCACCATATGCTTGTCTCGATGTACATAATGATAATCCAGATGAATGGGATTTAGGTGTGGCTGATCGTGATTTATTAGCCGCTGATGGTTTACTCTATTTAGATCGTAGTCATCCGGTAAGATTTAATTCTAATTATATTTGAATATATATTCTTCTCAAAAAAATATACTTCTATTGTTAAGTTCTGTAGTACGAAAGGTATGTATATGACTGTTTGTCTAACCCATATAAGGATATTTTGAATCTAACCTTGATTAGGTTCCTGACTGACTTCTTCCGACAACGTATCCCTTACATAATTTCTCACCTACTATTCGATCTTAAAATGACTATGAAAATAGACACATGACACATGTTTATACTCGTCCATTCATTCTATCGATCATTGAATTCATTTAGGATTCAGGTAGTGGCGGTCAAACGAAAACGTGGCATCAGTTTTTGAATTCACTAACTTGTAGTTTGAAGTCATGTCGGTAGATGCAGAATAATTGGTTGGGGTCCACCCAGGATGAGTTGAAAAACCCTCATTCCAAACCAATTGTATACATGAGCTCCAACATCCTAAGGGGACAAATAGCGTATGTTCCAATTATTGGTGACCGCTTACCATGAGACTGCACCTTCTGATGTTGCTCCACTACCTTGTGAATTAGACCTTTAGGTCAAATGCTTCGAGTGTGACCTCCTAAAGAAAACCACCTGCTTTATTTTGGGCACCCGGACACTATCCCAGCCCTCACACAAATGGAATGATTTATGTGACACATATCTATTTTCAATGATTAAGATCATGGGTCAGTTGAAGCTAGACCACCATGGAAAACCTGGAAGCACTGGACGGCCGTTTCGTCCTATTATGGGACTCCTCAGCAGTGCGCATCCACGACCTCCCCCCCTGCGAGATTCGAACCCAGGACCTACTGGTTTCGCGCGCAAGCACCTAACCACTAGACCACTGAGTTGGCAGGCATTCAACGGTGTTAATGTCTAGCTTCAACTAATCCACGAAATTGAGCGATACATCCACCATTGTCTTCAGTGAGTTACTATCCCACAACAGACCTGGTTGAACTCCACTGGTCACTACTTCTCACTAGAACTCCAGGATATACCTCTTGAAGCCAGTCACTAGTGAGCATATGTTGATTATGTTATGATTTGATGTCCGGCTTACGATCACGTGACTTATACACCAATCAGAATACGGCTTATACGAATATTCGCACTATGACAAGGCCAATGACGTTCAACCGGTCTGAGCAGTCTAGCGTCCTTATTGGTCCTATGTCCTACGAGCCCTTCCACTTGAGTCCAGAACACAATACCAGCTTCCGAATCAGAGCAGATCGTTTATTTCAGGCATACTTGGTTTATATATCAATCACACAGACCGCAACGTACCATAAAATAGGAAATAATATTTGTACACAAATAAGCCCAAAAAGTGGCTGTGAATGTGGGAGGCAGTAGTTAATAAACTGAACATAACTTAAGAACCGTAAATCGTACAATAATAAATTATAGGTCAAAATAAAGCTTATCATAAGAGGAATATAAATATACATAATCTAACTATTAAATAATTACACCGTAAGAATATATAGATAATATTAGTCAATTAATGTCTCAGAAGTTACTCGTGATTTAATCTTCGCTCGGATATAACAGATTATTATCAGAAGGGGTTTTGTGAAGATTGTAGTAATTTCAATGATTAAGATCATAAGTCAGTTGAAGCTAGACCACCATGGAAAACCTGGAAGCACTATCTATTTGGTACCTCCTTGTACCACTGTTTATGTGTTTCAATAAATATATATCTAAGTTGTAAGATCATTTTGTTTAAGCCTGGATTAGTAGATATACAATGACTTATGTATTTAATCAAATTTGTAATAAGGATAAATGTTCCCTTCTGACTGTGGATCTTGGTTACTTGTTATCTGGATTAAACTAGGAATAACTGTTAACCGAGTTCTTTCACGCCTCAGTTGTGTAGCTTTGAATGTACTTTAATTTGTTTCATCTACAAATCCATAATTTCTTCTTGAATCCTATCTTCTTTGCCTAATCTTCTATACTGTCATCAATACTGTTACTACTTATATATATATATATATATAATCATTGTTGTTAATTTTTGCCATCAGGAATCACTTAGCGATCGAATTAGTGAATTTGGATTTCGAATTCATGGTTCATCTGAAGGTGAAGAGGATCTAGAAGATGAGGATGATGATCCAGACGATAGTGGAATTCGAGATGAGTAAGTTTTGTTTGAATTTTTTTATTTATTACCATTATTTATATGTTTATCTATATCAGATCGTACCTTGATATTGTTGACTAACTGCTGGGATCACTGGGTAAGTAAATAGTTGAGGTTTGACGCACAGGGTATTAGGGAATGATGTTAAGTCAGTCAGTTGATGAGGTTGTAAATCTTCATCAACTGATAAGGTTGGGTCACATGTTACGTATACCTGAACACCGATTACCACGTCACTCCATTCTCTCTAGTGTTGGGAGATGTTTGAAAGAAAGTTAAGGGCGGTCAAACCAAAACGTGTCATCAGTTCTTGAAGTCACTAACTTGTGGTGTAAGTCATGTTGATAGATGCAAACTACTTGATTGGAATCAACGTGACTTTCGTCACGAATGGTTGGAGACTGTGTGTGACATGATTCAGAATCGATCACAATGGCGTCGGTGTATACACTCTTTGTCTTCCCTCAACTGTGAGATTAAAATTACTTCATATCTTTCTGTTATGACCTTGATTTGTCTACCCACTTTTTGGTGCCGAGGATACTTGTCTAATCTAGATTTCGACCTTGATGCGATAGGCTGATCGGCTTAACCTTAAGACTAGTACGCGTGAGTTCGAGATGGGGTAGAGAGAAGAAAACTATTCTGTCACCTGATTGGTGGGCAAGCACACGAATGAGAGAAGACAAGACTATTGGAACACTACTCGATCTATTTCCCTGACCACTGAACTCACTAGATTCACTGAATTCAGTTTAGTGTAAAAAGGTACATGAATAAATAAGTGAATAACCCGACTGCAACGTACAATAATTAAGAAAAATACAATTATGTCCAAAGCTGGGAATTACAGTAGAAAATAGGGTGCAAAATAATATGTTTAAATGACAATAGCTTCGGAACAGAAAAAGGTATGACAGTGAATGATACATCGAACGAAAACTTATGTTCTGTAGAATAGATTAGGGTAAAAATTAAATATCAGTGTTTTACAAGCTTTGAATAAACTGAAATAACGTCCCGAAAAATAGCCTTCGTAGTTTGTTAGGGCTTCTTGTTTCCCGGTTCACATCACTTTCTTTCTCTCTGTACTATATCCTTACATAAAATCTTTCTTTTATATATATATATTACCACCACTGAATTAACTACTTCTATGAATCCGATGTTCATGTTGTTGTGCTAATGAATAAAGTATGTCAAATTGGATTAATGCATATATCGGCCTGGTTCTACATGTTTATTTATTATTTATTTTAACACATAAGTATAGGTACAGGGAGGCACCAAATACATATGCGCCACACAAATCTCAATTGATTTGTGTGAGGGCTGTGATACTGCCCGGGTGCCCAAACCGAAACAGGTGGTTTTCTTAGGGGGCCACACCCCGAGCCTTTGACCTGAAGATCTGATCCACAAGGCAGTGGAGCATCGTAAGGAGATGCAGTCCCATGGTAGCCGGTGACCAACGATTGGTTCATACGCCATTTGTTCCTTCAGGATACTGGAGCCCATGTGCACCATTGATTTGTGATCCGGTTAAAGCGCCAGACATTCGCTTTTCGTCCTCTCATTTTTTGTAAACAACAATCATGCCACGAGAATGCAGTGAGTAGGACTTCCCTGTCAGAGGCTATATACGCATGGCCATGTGAGAGCATTTGGAGAGGGAGAGCGGACTTTCCCCACTCTCGGCCGTACCAGGGCATTTGGGGGCAGTGTAGTGTCAGGAGTGGGATACATGGTAACTAACTGATTGACTGAGTTTTAGAATTTCTTTCTTTTTTTTTCTTTTTTCGTTAAAGACAAAAAAAAAAACTAGTTTAATTCTTTTTCCTTTTCTATTCTTATTCATTTTAGAATCATTATACCAAATGATTTATCTAATATAAATATGATGAATTTATGTTCATTATCATCTAATACAAATAATATAGATGATATTTCACCAACATTAAGTCGTATGAATAAACATAATACAAATGATATTACTATGGATACTACTTCAATACAAAAATTATCATTATCAACCAATGATAATATTAATTTAAATAGTCAAATGATAAATAATAATCAAAATACTGATCTAAATCTTAACCATAGAGAGATATTAAATAAGAATACAAAATGTAATTCTACTATGACAAATACTACTTCTAATACTACTCATACTACCAATACTACTACTACTACTACTACTACTACTACTACTACTACTACTAATATTAATGATAATAATAATAATAACAGATTAGTCAGTCAAAAAGAATTGGATTTAAATGATATTGTTAATTCTACTGGTCATGAATTTTATCCAGAGAAATCTGGAGAGTAAGTGTTTACTTTTAATGATTTTATGAATTCCTTTAAACAATATATATTATTATCGATTTGATTAATGTGTAGTGAATGAGAACATAGGTGGAGGGGTGATAACCAAATGTTACTTACTTACTTACCCTCGAGAGAGAATAGTCCGCCCATCAGCATTCGCCAACCCATTCTGTCCTAGGTCTTCCTTTCCAGTTCTATCCGATTGTTGTTCATTATTCTTCCTATGTCTATATTCATTTTTCGATGTAATGTGTTGTTTACTCTTCGTTTTTTCATTTGGCCTTGAGGATTCTAGGTGAGGACTTGCTTTGTGACGCAGTTGAGTGCTTTTCTCAATGTGTGTCCTATCCACTTCTAGTGCTTCATTCTGATTTCGTCCTCCACTGGAATTTGGTTTGTTCTCTTCCATAATAAGTTGTTGCTGATAGTGTCTGACCAAGGGATCCGAAGTATATTGCTTATTTGAACATAAAAGTATAGTGTTTTAATGAATATCCGTCATTTGTCTCAAATTTTATTTTTCTTTCATTTCTCTATTCTCGTTCTTTTCTTTTCGATCTTCTTAACTTTCACCATCAGCTATTCGACTTTCGATAGATAATACATGCTATTTATATCTATCGAGATCAGTAACACACACCACTATAGCAATAGAAATTTCGGCGAGACTATAATTTATAGACGACTTTTGAACGAATCTTAAGTGATGTTGAGAAATTTGAGCCAATTAGAAAAAAGTCGGTATAGAGTAAACATATATTAAAGAAAACCAAAAAATTAGAATGGACATATTTCTATGAAAAACTTCTCAAATTTAGAAAGAGGTTCAGCAGTTCTGAAATCATAAGGCATGCGATACAAGAAATCATCCGTGTGACTTAATAATCATCGACCTCTGGAGCTATAATTAGGTCGCAAAACTTATTTTAGTTTCGATTACATTGCTTCAATATTATTTGTATGCACTCCGGTGGTTGGGTTCACAAAATGCCACTAATGGACGACGACACGATGCACATAACCAAGTCCATGTAGGCATCGGTACGCTTTCCAGTCATCCGTATATATTGTAGTATCCGGCAGTTCATACTTTCGTATAATTGATATTATCGTTGTAACTTGTTGAACGTGTTCTTTTACCAAATTACATCACCTATGGCGACGGCGAGATATCCGTTTTTCAATAATAGGATGAGTAAAGTGCATGACAGTTCGTTCTGTTCTACTTTACGGCTGCTAAACGTGGCCATTAAGAGTAAAAGATACTCGTAAGCTACAAGTATTTCATCACAGATGTCTTAGAAATATTGCTCGCATCTTCTGGGATCACCAGGTAAGTAATAGTGAAGTTAGACGCATAGGGTATTAGGGAATGATGGTAAATCAGTTGATGAGTTTGTGAATCTTCATCGACTGAGATGGTTTAGTCATGTGTTGTGTATGCTTGATAACCGATTACCACGACACGCAATGCTGTCTAGTGTTGGAGATGGTTGGAAGATAGTTAGGGGCGGCCAAACCAAAAACGTGGTAGATGCAGACTATTTGGTTGGGGTCCATATGACTATCATTACGAATAGTTGGAGACTGGGTGATATGGTTCAGAATCGATCACAATGGCGTCGGTGTCGCTTCATATCTTTCTTTCTACGAACTAACTTTCTTCTTGTACTATATCCTTATGTGCACTCTTTCTTTTATATATTACCGCCATTGAGTTAACTGCTTTTATAAATCCGGTGTGCTAATGTGTAAATTATGGCAACTGGTCCTACATTATAGCGTGCTAACTAATTGATAACGATATTTTTTCAATATTAAAATCGATTAACTGTTAAGAAACTTCTTAAATACACTAAACTCTAACAGATTTCATTAAATTCTATTGTATAATATATTTGATCTATTTAATGCTTAGTTAATTACATTCGACATTACTTAATTACTTACGCCTGTTACTCCTAATGGAGCATAGGCCACAGACCATCATTCTCCAACCTACTCTATCCTGAGCCTTCTTTTCTAGTACTATCCAATGCTTGTTTCATTTTTCCCATGTCTAGAAAACTAACTCGCTAAAATAAACGCTATAATCAATATACCGGTTACTATTTATAACTTACTTTTATCTTTTATGTTTTTTTTTACACTGACTTATCTGTGTTACTTTGTTTTTTTGTTTTTCTTTTTAAAGAAGAATCCATTTGTTGCTACATAAGTTGTGTATAGAGATAGATAACTATATTTTTATACACTGTTTTTTGTATATATCTCTTTTAATTGATTTTACTGTATCCCTTTTTATGTATGAATGTATTTACATTTATTTTGATTGACTGATATTGTATAAACCACTTGTTTAGATATTTCAGTTGAGGTTTCGTTTGTTTAAATACATAAATATTGATACATAGAGGCATCGGATATATATGTGCTACACTTCGTTATTCGGTTTGTGTAAGGGTTAGGATACTGCCCGGTCACCTAAAATGAGCAAGTGGTTTTCTTAGGAGGTTATTCACTTTCCAATCTCTTGATCTAAAGGTCTAATCTACAAGACAGAGATGCAGTCCCATGGTAACTGGTGATAAATAATGAGTTCATATGTCATTTATTGTCTTAGGATTTTTGAGTTCATGTGTAATTTTGGTTTGGAATAAAGGTTTTCCAACTTTACTAGGTGGATTCTCCATATCCACCAACCCGATTAAAGTGCCGGACATTCGCGTTTATTCCTCTCAATTTCATAAACAACACCCCCACTGCTAGAAGGAAGTGAGTAGGACTTCCGTGGCAGTGGTTGTATGCATGTGGCCACTTAAGAGCATTTGGAGAGACAGAGTGCTAACTCTCCCCATCTTCAGCCGTACCAGTGCATTTGGGGGCTATTCACATAGGGCGCATATCATACTGTAAACACAATATATTAATGTTTCCGAAAATTTTTTGATACTACAGTAGTAGCCCTCAAACGCTCTGATACGGCCGAGAATGGAGAGAGTCATCTTTACCTGTCCAAATGCTCTCAAGTGGCCATATGCATAAAACCACTACCACGGAAGTCCTACTCGCGGCATTACTGTTGTTTACGAAATTGAGAGGAAGAAAAGCGAATGTCCGACGCTTTAACCGGTTTGGTGGACACAGAAGAGGAGTTTGAAAACCTTCATTCCAAACCAAAAGTGCACATGGACACAAACATCTTAAGGCAACAAATGGCGTATGACACTATTGTTAGTCACCGGTTACCATGGGACTGTATCTCTGTCTTGTAGATTAGACTTTTAGATAAGGGCTTTGAAGGTGAACTCCTAAAAAAATCGCAACTACTTTAGTTGTTTGGGCACCGGAGCAGTATCCCAATCCTCATACAAATCGAATGATTTATGTGGTACATATCCATTTGATGCCTCCTTGTACCAATATTTATTTAAATAAATAAACCACAGTAGTAGTATGTGAAGTGTGGAGTTTCAACAACCTTGATAGGTTAATATATGACAGAATCTTGCCATAAATTTAGACAAATCGCTTGATTTTCTATCAAGTAGTCTTTTTGTCAATCAAGGGGTCTTATCTATGTAGAATCTTGCTTTTTATTAAATAGAGTATAAATCTTAGGTTTCTCATATTTGTTGACTTTACTGATGGAGTATTATTAAGGTTATATGTAAAGTATTATCCTTTGTTTGAATGTTACGAAATCTCAGCACGGATTCGAAAAGCTCGCTTGGCCTTTGCCAACTTACGTCATCTATGGCGAAGGCGAGACATCCGTCTATCAATTAAGGGACGAGTATACTGCGCGGCAGTTCGTTCCGTCCTTCTATACGGCTGCGAAACATGGCCTTTAAGAGTGGAAGATATTCGTAAGTTACTAGTATTTGACCACAGGTGCCTTAGAAATATTGCGGGTATCTGCTGGGATCACCGGGTAAGTAATAGTGAGGTTAGACGCAGGGTATTAGGGAATGATGGTAAATCAGTTGATGAGGTTATGAATCTTCATCGACTGAGATGGTTGGGCCACGTGTTGCGTATGCCTGAACACCGATTACCACGACGCGCAATGCTGACTAGTGCAGGGGATAATTGGAAGAAAGTTAAGGGCGGCCAAACCAAAACGTGGCATCAGTGCTTGAAGTCACTAACTTCTGGTCTGAGCCATGTTGGGAGATTCAGACTGCCTGGTTGGGGTCCGCGTGACTATCGTAACCAATGGTTGGAGACTCTTGGTGACATGGCTCAGAATCGATCACAATGGCGTCGGTGTATACACTCCCTGTCTTCCTTAAATTAAGAGATTAAAATCGCTTCATATCTGTCTAGGAACTAATTCTTTCTTCTTTTACTATCTCCTTATACACAATCTTTCTTCTATATATTACCACCACTGAATTAACTACTCCTATGAATCCGGTGTTCATCTTGTTGTGCTAATGCGATATGGCAACTTGGACCGATGCATATACGTGCCTGGTCCTACGTTGCAGCTGACTGACTTGTTTGAATGTTATCTTTTTGAGTAATATAATATTAGAATTTGATACGACAGACTTATGTGCCAGGTTTTCCATGTTTCCGTATAACTTTGATTTACTAATGTAATTGAATTTCACAAGCGATAATCTTATTTAAGATAGAAATGATGTATTCGAATTTCTTCATATATGGTTCAAAGCTTGTCCTGTAGATCTTGATGTTCATTAGTTATTGATGACTTTTAACCTGTTATTGTTTAAATCAGTTAATCCGTTTGATACATTTCAAAAATGCAATGAAAAGACTATGGTTATTAGAATTATATGATTTATTTACGTAATACATTTTGAACAATCTGATCGCACATATACTGGTTAAGACATTTTTATATAAACGGTCAACTAGACAGATTATAAAAAGTAAGCGAAAACAAAGAAAATGAAGGTAGGAAAGATAGGAATTGATTTAATGTTGTTTTACTTGTATCTTCCCATTGTTATTTAAGACTGCAATGG